AGCCACACAATTGTTTACTGAAAAGAAATACTTTCCAGATTGTAACTTCACTACACGCTAACCTGGGATTAAATAAACAAAAGAAGGAGAGCCTGAAGTTCCCTAACTTGCTACTATTATTAAGTCTGCTGCTGCATGCATGGAAGTGTGCTGGATCAACACAGAAGAAAAGAAAGCAAGCTCTGGACTCAATGGTGATGAGGTGTGCATATGCAGTGTCCTGAGGAAGGAATAATGCCAAAGAATATAGAGGAACTGCCAAGTCAATGTGTGTTACTTGCAGGGCCTCATACCTGGACATCCTGGGGTTGCTGATATCTGGCAGAGTGATTTGAAAATATGAAGAGACAGTGCAGTGATCATGAAAAATGTGTGGTCAGAGAGACAGGGAAGACCTAGCAAGAACAGGAATATTGTGTTCCAGCACATGCCTTGTCCTGGGACAGCAGAAAACTGTGGAGAGACATCTTACGAATTTTGCTGTCACTGGGCAGAACAAGTTAGGATAAGCTGCTTAAAATGATGTCTCTCCTGTGGCCTAGTATATATCCTTCAGCATCCTCGAGAGTTGAGAGAAATAAAACTTTACTTTCAGAGTGATCACATTTCCTCCCTCATCCTTTTTGTTATGAACAGCAAGGTATGTGCTGGCTTACTGGGATCAGTCCTTTGCTGTGATGTGCATGATTAGTAATGAGCTACTCTGTATGAAACATGATGCTGGAAATAAACCTAGCATTTCTGGAAAAATACACAACTTCTGTGATGATACAAACCTAAGGTTTATTTCTTACTACTTGTGTCTCTTACAGATTGAAGCAAATGCCATTTTATTTTCAGAGATGCACTGCAGCTCTTCTGAAGTGGTGCTGATGGTTTTCTTTAGCAATTCATAGTTGGTGAATGTGGCCTCTTTAGGTTTATGAATGTGATATTCTATCTCTGCATTCCAACAATAACTTAAAATCTTCAGAGTTGCTTAGTTTAGTAGTACATGCCTCTGTAATCAGGTTCTCTGTGTGCTACCTTTTGAAATGAATTGCCTGAAGAGTTTTAATAAAAGAAAACAGCCTGAAGGGTAATTGCTTTGCTGCAGGCTGAAGCAGGCCCAGTTAATCTCAATGGTCGACCCATCCCACAGCAATAATTTGAATCTTAATATTCTCAACTGTTCAAGTTCTTAAGTGTTCCATGACTGTAATGATTTGGGCAAAAACTGAACATAGTTTTCAGGAGTTAAAATTCAGCAGAACGTATCACTTTACTCTTTTTCTATGCCAGATAAATGCAGAATTCCTTAACTATTTGGAACCTGTACATTTCAATCACTCAGCCAGCAACAACAGGCTGCACGATTAAAATCAAATATGAAAAAGAGCAGATTGTGGAGCTTTTTCTCTTCAAAAGTAGTTGGGAAAATATTAGGTAGTCTTTAAACATTCAAATAGTGGTCCTTTTAGGCTTTCGTTTACATTTAGTATGTAATAAGCACAGATAAGAGTTTATTGAAAAATGAAACTGGTACCAGTAATTCACATTGGAAGAAAGGCCTGTGTGCTCAGGAGACTGGTTGTTTTATATAATTATGTAAGCTGGTCAAATGAAAAATACTATTTTCTTCCTTGCTCATTTTTTTCAGAGCAAGGTAACATGTGCCTTTTGCACGTATCTCCCAAAAACAGCTGGGGGTAGGATGATTTCCCTTCAACAAGGCAGAGAAATGTGGAGCCAAGAGCACCTGTGGGCACACAGACCTTCTGTCAGTCCCACAGGCTTGAACCAGCAAAGGCCATCTAGTTCCCATGCGTTCCTTACCTGGGTAGCTGAATCTGGACTGAAATTACCTTCCAATGCTAACAATATGCTGCCTATCTATTTACTAAACATAGTGAAAAATACTATCTTAGCACAGAATTTGCTGCCTGAGGCTCAAACCTTGCATTTCTCAAGATAAGATTCATAAAAATAAGTAGGAAAAAAGTGGTGAAAATAAATAATGGAAGTTGTAAACATTTTAGAAAGAGTCACGTCTTCTACGAGAGGAAAGGGGTGGAAAGGCCAAGCAAAATAAGCAGATTTTAATGGAAAGAAGATGCCAAGAAAACTCAAAAAGATGTAGAAAACTTGGGAGCAGAAACGTAAGAGAAACAGAGTGAGCAGGGTGAAAGAAAAGCCTGAAGACAGTGCTGCTGTGAGGTACTGAAGGCAGGAAACATTTCAGGTCTCAGGGGTGCGTGTTACACGGGACCTCTGTTTAACAGGCCCTTTCAACCTCTGAAGCCAGAGGAACATTCCTGGCCGGAGTTGTGCCTTGATTGTGGCCCTGCCCGGCTGGCTGCCCCAGAGCTGCAGGTCAAGCCCAGCTCCACCGGGGAGCTGCCACACGGCAGGGCAAACCCACCTCTCAACTCCATGAGGATAAAGAATGGGAAGACGCCGCGTTTCCTCTGGGTGGGAAGCCCCTGCGCTACCTCCTGGCAGTCAAAATGTTGGGAATTTGAAGGAAGGAGCACTCCGGGGGGGGGGATCAGGATCTCCCGTCTTTCTGGGCTGGGTTCGGTTTGACGGCGACAAAGGGGAGAGAAACACCAGGACGGGAGCCGGCGGGAAAACTGCGGGCGTCCCTCAGAGGGGAGGGAAGAGGGAGGGAGCAGAGCCCCGCGGCGGGAGCCGCACGTGCGGCGCGGGAGGACGCGGGAAC